AGCTCTTTTACCTGCTGCAAAGGGGGACATGTGCAGGGCAGGTGTGTCTTTTCTCCTTGGCTTTTTCTGTTCCAGGTCAGTGTTATGAAGAGCTGGGCTCATTTTGCCCTTTGGATGTCTCTCTTGAACATCGTACCTTTTAATTAGATGTTCTGAAAGCACACCTGCGTGGTTAAGGAAACAGAGAAACAGAATCAAATACATGTACATAAATGTGCACATGTTAGGACCGTGCACATTTACACACCTGCTGAAGTAGTCGATATGGCTTTTCAAACTTATTTTAATAAAGGAAGTTTCTTTATAATAAGAGTTAGTATTTATTTAGGCTATACTAGGAACATCCTCTATACAAAGGATGCCTGATGTCATTTCAGCCTTGCAAACACTGAGGAATTTAAGATTACGGCCACCGTCACCTCTCTGAGGAAAGTGAGGCAAAAATCTGTGCCCAAGTTATTGCAGTGCACAGGTTTCAGACAGGTGTCTAGCCCAGGCTCTGCCTTCAAAGTCCACCCTCTTCAGCCGGAGGGGAGAGCTTGCTCTTCTGCAAGCTGTGTGCTGCCCACTTCTGCCCCGATCCCTTAATTATCGCTCTACCTCCACCCTCCTCCCTTCTCGCCTCTATTCTACAGGTGAAACCTTTCTCCATCATTTAATAACTCTCTTGTATAAAAGTTTCTATAGTTCACTACCCAGACTGAACTCCCAAGCTCCTTTTATGGGCCTCCTTATGACATCACTTCTTCCTGCACATTCCAGCTATTTATGTGCTACTATTACTTTTTAGAAAACCGAAACTTCCTTCTCAGCAAGATCAGGGTTTCATCTGTTTGGTATCACTCAGCTGCAGTGTGAATAGAGATGACAGTAAATAAATGACCGAGGGGGAAGGAGAAGAGGAAGCAAAACAAGAGAAAACTTTAGAGAATAAGAGAGTGTCACACGTCCCATCCAGGGGTGTTGTAGAGACACCCTAGTTGTTCACCAAACCGTTTTGCATTTGTCCTGGGCCTAGAACTCAGACAAATTCCCTGGCCTCCCTTGCTGTCAGGTGAGGCCTCTGATGGGCGGAGGCCTAGGTCACACAGATGTCTCTGTCAATCCTCTGCTCTGTCTACCCCCATGTCTGCCGGATAGTGATACTCATGGTGACTTGGGAAGCTCCTGGTGACTTTGCTCATCATTACTGAAGATGTCAAAACCCATTAGCCTGGGTCCCCAAATGACCATATGGAACAGAGCTTGCCACCCCAGCCTGAACTTCCACTGTTGAGTAAAAAATGATCTCTTTCGGTATGAAGCCACTAATATTTTAAAATTTATCTGTTATAGCAGCTTGCCATATTGTAACTAATGTACCTATTATTAAAAATATACCCAGGTATTTAAGGAAAGATTTTTGAGACTGATGTGACCTGGTGGCAAGGGACTCCCCTCTGCAGCCGTGCAAGCCGACTTCATTGTCCCCTACCTGGTATGAAAGGTGGGATGTGCAGGGCCGGTGTATCTTTCCTCCTTGGTTTTTTTTGCTCTGACTCAACATTCAGGGTGGCCTGTGCATTTTTCCCCTTTCTTGGCTTCTTTTTGAGCTCACAGTCCTTAATGAACTGGTCTGAAAGATCATCTGGTTTTGATAGGATACAAAGAGAAAAGAATATAACATGAGGAAGGGGCCAGTCACAAACTGGTTGGTTTTCAATTGCACCTGGTGATAGGGGCAGAGGGCATTTGGTCTGAAAAAGAAAAGTGTTTATTCATGTTGTCCTCTTCCACAGGGGACTTTAATAGCCTTGCATGAATTCATATAATAAAATGGAAAACTAGAATTCTGTAAAACTCTAAATTAAGAGAACTCAAATGGATGAGTCATCAAGGCAAAGAAGAACGTAAAAATATCGTCAGACCACCGAGTGGGTTGGAATTAAATTTCATCTTGAGCTTCTTTACATTTAAGTTAGGTATATGTGTGTGATTCATTCATTTATAGTAGAATTGATTATCTAGGCTGTGATGGTTGTTGTTCAATACGCTTCTGTTTTTAATGAAGGGGAACATGAATGCTTTATCTGCTTGCTTTTGGTCAAGCAGCCAAATCAAAGTATATGAGAGTACATTAGGCCAAATTGGTTGGTGACCACTTTTATTATGTTATTGGCTTCCTGAATAGCAGCCTCTTTAGTCAGCTAGGTTTACACATGCAAATAAGAGACAGTGGTTATATAATTTAAATCAATTAATATCTCTCAACATTTTAATATTCACAGATTTATATAATTTATATAAAATTTATATGAAAAAGAAAAAAAATAAATTTCTTACAGAAGAGGTTCTCTGTGCTAAATGCTCCTCAATTTCCTTCACTCAAGGCTTGCTCTCTTTGACACCCCAAGGGCCAGGATGGAACCTTAGTCTCCGTTGGTTTTGGCACGTTTCCCCAGGGTTCTCAGTAAATGCCCCACTTGCCTTCATTTCTATGGCCAACCAGTCATCCTCATGATTCACACTCGGGCTTCAGTGTTTGTCCCTTCCCTGCCCCCTGGCTCTGTAACTCTCCTATTTGCTCATCCTGTCTCAGGGTCCCCCAGTCTTCTTATTCATCTTTTTCCTTTTCTCATTCCTCTGCATCGGCACACCAGGGCTTCTGTAGCCTGTCTTTTACCTCAAGTCCATCAACGTTGTTATATGTAACGAATCCAATCTGATCACTCCTTGCCCATTAAAATCCTTTCTCTGCTCCATCTTACTTCCCCATGCTTTTGTTGATGTTGCTCTCCTTTGGGCTTCTCTGTCATTGTTCTACACTGGTTCATTGTTCTCTAATGATATATCTCCTGTTCCAGACAGAGATTTCTTGGAGATTAAGGATTACATCCTTTTTGTAATTTTATTCTTCAGTGCCTTTCCCTTACACCAGTGCATGTTTGTGGAGTCAGGTTGATCTGACTGTTGGGACTGTGTATTGTAATATCTGGCTGAAAAAGCAATTTTTAAAATGTGTTACTACACAGCACTGTCAATCCCCACCCCCATTATACATAGCACAGTCATTTGTTGAATGAATGAATGAATGTTGCTCAGAATGGGTGCTGCCTGCTGTGGGTCTCTAGAGGTACAGGCTGGATAAAGACCTGCCACAGGGCCACCGTTCAACCCCGGGACACTCCTCAGTGCTCAGTGCAGACAGCAAGACATTTGCTTCAATTTTGACTTTTTTTTTCCATTGCACTTTTCCCCATTTTTGGAGAAATCCTCAACATAAAATATCTTTATGGCAAATGGGGAGAGGGGAGAGGAGCGGGGAGTCATAACCGGGCGAAGCGTAGACAAAGGCTATGAATATGCAAAAGGCCCATCCATCAAAAGTCTGAGTGTCTCATTTTTAGAAATGGGTAGAGGCAAAAATGTTTCTGGTATTTTCATTACAAAGGTTATGTAAAAAGTCAGTTCTGGAAAGGAAACAGATTGACAATAAAGCAGAAAAAGGCTATTTAAAATTCTGTCTTGATAGGCAAAGAGAGATATTTGAAATATTTTATTGGCTCTGCACAGGGGGTGTAAGTGTGTCAGGAAACACTGAAAACAAGCTATACTGCCACATTCCATTTATTGCCTCCGAAATGCTCTGTCCGGGACTCTGGCAGACCCCAAAAAGAGGACAATGCCTTCTCTCTCTCTCTCTCTCTTTCTCTCATTCTCTCTCTCCAATGAACTTCCTTCCAGTGCTTCAGCTAATATTTACATGGCAGACCCCACAGACCCATGGCTATTTGCCTACCCATCTGGTGTTGGCTGTGACCAGAAGGCACAGACTATCGGGTTTCGGGAGGCCTCTCTCAGACTTGCCCACAAACCGAATAGCAGAGCCTCCCCCTTTCTGATTTCCACAACTGACATTCACAACAGAGCATTTACCTAAGTGGCTGCAACGAGGATCTAGCTTGTCCAGCCTGTCTTCTGAGATCTCCAGTGGCTGCATTTGCTGAGTGGACATCATCAAAGAAGGTGCGTGTGTGTATTTCTTCTCCGGCACTACAGAAGTATAAGAAACAGTCCATAGTATGCCTTCTGTTCATTCATTCGTTTATTTATTAAATAACTATATTTTTGAGCACTTACTATTATGTTCCCAATTCGATTCTGGTTTTTCAAGTATACTTCTTATACTTAGCTACCAGAAGCTCCCAACTTGAGATTTAAGCCAAAATAAAATGAATCACACAATACACACATGTACACACACACACACACACGCACACAGATTTATTGGTAATTGTCATGTATCAAAAAATGTTCAAAATTTGCTCTTCTCAGAGGCACTTTGGGAATTTCAGAATGAACAATTGCCAAGTCTGAATTAGAAATAAGTTAGTGGAAAGTCATAGAACCTTGCCTACATTTTCTCTGTTCTGCAAAATAGGATTATGTATACTGCACAGATGAGGAAACTGAGGCTCAGAAAGTTTAATTAGTTTATTTAGTCACATGTCTATTAAATAGCCTAGCCTAGATATGGATACAGTTCTGCAGACTTCCACTGTACAATCAAGTCTCTTAAAAACAAAGTGAATCCTTTGAACCCAAATTGAATCAGCCTTCTAATTTTCTACCCTGACATCCTGCAACTATGAAGTAACACGATTGCCCCCCTGTTCATATCACGATGGTGGTAGAGATGTGGTAGGAGGAAATCTAGGTCTTGGAATGCAGCTTTATTTTCCCCGTAGAGATTCCTGACATGAGAGCAGAGCTGTTCCCTGTCCCCATCCCCCATCTTTCCTGGACCACAAATCCACTGAACTTTCCAGAGCTATTAGTTATAGCCATTGCCAGGAGGAGTGGACATCCAGAATGGACACGTGTCAGGTCCGAACGAGAAATGCATTAGCTGAGATTTATAGAAAATCTTCATTAGTGCCTGCCTAGACTCTGTCTCTTGAGTTCCTTTTGGATAATTTATTACTCATATCCAACCATAGCAAGACTGGTAAGGGAGAATGAAGAAGATTAAAATGACCTAACTGATCCTCTTCTTTTGAGATTCCTTGACCAAATACACAGATCAGTTGTGCTAACATTTCAACCTCATAGAATGAGTTCAGCTCAGCTGTCTTCTCAGGAATAAGCCAGTTTTCCCCAGAAAGGTTGGAAACTCTCTCCCCCTATAAGCTGAGATCATTGCACAGCAGATGGAGCCATTAACTGATCACTTGAGTACGGCTTTTAGTGTCACTCCAAGCAGACTGATTGTACTGAGTGACTTCAGCAGAAATCAATTCAGACCACTGTTTTTAGTGTACGTATAGAGCTTGCCAACTCCCTGGGACCATAAGGAAGAATGCCGTTACCTTGGCCAGGCCAGCCCCCACCGGCTTGAGTGCAGAGAACAGCCGTGGGAACGTTACTCGGGGTGAGTGGGCTGGTTGCTGAGGTCTCAAAGCAAAATTATAGCCTCAAATGTGGTCTTACGCACTTATTTAACCAATTTTCTTCCTCTTCAAGCAGAGTCATGGGCCTACTCATAGATGTTGTGCTGAAAATCACCCTCGTGGAGGATCTGGTCAAAATATTTATTCTCCAGAAGAAGAAACTGGGGCTCACAAAGGTTAAAATGACCTATCATTAGCTGCACACTCAGGGCCAGAGGCATCATTTGAACACAGCCCCTACTATCTACACTAAGGCCTGTCTAGCAGCAGTTTCCCCTCCTTCTCCCCAACCCTTGTAAGGTAAACTTCTCTTTGTACTCGGAGTGTATGGCTGCTCCTCTGTGCCCAAGAGCTGGTTATTTAATTTGAACCCGAGCTCTCAAGTCAAATAGACCCAGGTTAAATCTCAGCTCTTTAACTAAGAAGCCATATGACTTTGATGAAGTTGCTAAATCTTAAAGGACATAGTGAGGGTAAATGGAGCCCTAGGACGATATAATTATTTTTTCCCTCTTTGCCCACAGGCTATCGCTGCTATGATAGAACGTGCAGAGGCTCCCATCTTTGTGGTGCCCCCAACAACTCTCCACTTCTATTCTCAGTGATAAGGGGTGTTCTTTTGGAATGAACCACTGTAAGACATGAGCCAGGCTAATTCCTGAAATAAGAAATGGGACATTTCCATTTCCTATTCCTGATCCTGCCAATGCCTTCTTCTCTTTAATTGTCTCCATCCTAAGCGGGTGTCGTAAAGGGACGCTGCTCTTGTCACGCTGCCCAGGGAAAGTTTCATCATCTCCCTCAGCAGCTCCCTGTAATTTGGTAGCTTTCTAAGGCACCAGCTCTTTCTTTCATACCTAAACAGTTGGTCCTCTGGGTCTTCAGATTGCAACCCCAAAGCTAGGATGTTCAGAGATGTTTGTTGACTGATACTTTACATTTGGGGGTATTTCATAAACTGTGTCTAATATAAAGATTTGTGACCCCTTTAACATTCTCTTGCCACTTGTCGGTTCACTGTGGGCTCTGCTTTCAAACACTCATACAGGGACTTGGATCTCTGCTGTGATTGTCAGTACTGGCCCCTTATGACAAGCCTGGGGCCCAGTGTGCTGTGGAAATCAGGACATTTTTATTATGTAACACTCCCAGAGGGTCTTGGGGAGTACCAGCGATCACATACATTTTTTCTCCTGCAAAACTGTAAAACTATGAATATTCACACTAAATGACATAAAGACAGACTATGAAAAGTTTCATATCCTTTCAGGTCAGGTTTTGCTACCAAATGAGTTTGTGTTGAAGTTAACAACAACAACAAACTTTTGGTTTTCAGAATTTTTTAGATTTCTCATTTACAGAATAAAGAATTGTGGATCTGAATTATTTTTCCAATTGCTGCTGTCTGACAGAATGTGGGTGGTCTGTGTAGCATGGAAAAGACCAAGGGATATAATTTCAGGGTTTGAGGGAGGTGTTCAGCACCCCGTATTTTAAACTCTTGCAACTTCTTCTTACTAATCTTTATCTTCCTTTTCACAAGGAACAAAGGTTTTCTTTTCACAGAGAGACACTGTAAATGCAAGTACCGGGGAGAGAGGAGATACATAAACTGATATCACAATACACAGGGACTGTTAATGACAAAAGTCACCTTGTCTTTTGAGAACAGGAACTGAAAAGGCCAAGGAACTGGGTGCCAGGGAAGGAACCCCGCTAAGTTGCAGAAGGGCAGGCACATCAGGGCAGCCTGGGGATACTGAGGACACATCTTATGGAGGCCAGCCTCCACTGGCTCAGATCTCGTTCCCATTTCGGGAGGATAGTAATGCTGTCTCTGCTGCTGAACAAAGATCTGTGGGTTCAGTTTGTGGTCAGAAGGTGGTTTGGGCATTTTGTCTTTTAATACCGAGTAGGTATTTCAGTTGGATGTGAGAATATGTATTTTAACTCTTGGACAGAAAATTTCTCACGACTGTAAGGAATTGATGCTGGAAGGCAATATGAGGTAGAAGCAATGGTTTGGTTGCTGGTACCCTCTCTAGCTGGATGAACTTGGGAAAGTTATGTGTCCTCTTGGAAACTTAGTTTTCCCATCTGTAAAATGGGGATGATAGTGGCTCTTCTCCAGGATTGTTGAGAGTATTAACACTACCACATGTGTAAAGCACCCAGCCCAGGTCCCACATGCTGACATTTTAATGAGTGAGTGGCCTTCTTTGATCTTTCAGTCCTCCCCTTGTGATTTTAATATGCATGTCCAAATTGATCCATCACCATAATCTCCTAAGCCCGTTTTTGGCCTTCTCTGAAGCTGGTAACGAGATGAGAACAGTCCTAGGTGCAAACCAACTGCAGAATACCCCTTTCTGGGTCTTGGAAACATGATAATACAGATTTTTAGGAACGAGTCGACACTTAGCTTAGCCCTACGATGATCTAAAGAATATCCACAAAGTAACCAAGTCTAGATTTACGTGATGGAATAAAAAGGTAGAAAGTTATGTCCATGTGGTATCTGGTTACTGCACCCTCTGGCTGTGTAAAATACATATCCTTTGTCAAACCTCTTTTTAACCTGAGAATTGAATTTAGGTCAAAAAGTTCCACATTGTGAAATCAAATTTGTTCATTTAGAAGACCTAAATTGGCAGTATTCCTGGAGGAGTGACTCTGACTTGAAGTAGGGCACGGAGATGTTTTTTGAGAAGCGCCCTTTCCCCAGCCTTGCAAGATAAACCTCTCCCTCCCGAGTGAACATGCAGATACACCTACATTATTTTAAAACTTTGCAATTTAGTTTGTGAGGATTCAGGGGTTTTCACAGTGCTCAGTGCCATACCTCCTTTGGAAAAGTGACTTGAATGTGGTGACTTTCTCTGCTCCCCACCTTGCCCCAGCTCAGCCTTGCTCCATAAAGCACAAGCCCCCTGCCACCGGCTATAGCCTTTTTTGTCCCAGCAGCCACAAAGAAGTTGCAACTCATTAGAAACTTGCTTTTCTTGCCACGAAAGTTCTTGGAGTAAAAATCCAAAGCACTTACCAATCTGTGCAGGCGCTGGGAAGAGAAGACGAGAGACAGGGAGGGCGTTTGCTCACCGAAGCTGGGCCTGGCTCCTCTGCGCAGTGGCTGCTGCTGGCCGGCTCCAGCTCCTCTTATCTAGGGACCAGCTGCTGCTGTTGCCATGGGGATGCTCTGTTTCACAGGCGCCAGGGCAAGGGGGATGGAGAAGGATAGAGGACTAACCTCACCATCGCTGCTCTCCACTGCAATGATTGTACATTGCAAAATACAATATACAGAGTTGTACTTTGAGCTCCCAGTGTGCACGCCGGAGAAATCCACATGAGCCCACTACATCTTTGGATCTCCATGGCAAGCCTGTGCAATAGGTTCTTTTTTGGTCTGATTTTGCAAATAGGGAAACTGAGGCACAGAGAGGTTAAGTGACTTGCCCAAGAGGGGATTTCGACCCAGCTAATTTCGACCCTCAAATCTATTAGAATTTAATTCAGAGTACTTTCACTCACCACTGCTGCCTCTCAGAGTACGACCATGATGAGAAGTAACAGGAGCAGTTGCTAACATTTACGTAAGGCTACCTATGGGCCAGGCACTCTTGCAGAGACTCCACACTTACCAACTCATTTAATCCCCATACCAACCTTGTGAGACGAGCTACTGCCACGATCCCATTTTAGTGAGGAGGAAGCTGGGGCTCAGAGTTGCCCAATCATCTGCCACGTCTCACCACTAGTAAATGGCAAGGCTAGGCTTTGAACTGGGTAATTGAATGCTAGAGACCATGCTCTTAACCATTTTCAAACAGCACATAGCAGAAGGAAGCGGTCCCTGACTCTGTGGATTGGGTGTGGAGGCAGGAAATATGTGTTCCGTCAAAGGAACTAAGCCACATGTTCCAATATGTGGGCACTCCATAAAAGACCTGGGCCAAAGTTGTCTCAGTAAGGCAGGGGTGTGGCGTGCTGTCAGGTGGAGAACAAGAGTCTGTGTTTCGGGTTAGCTCACTGGAGGAGAGCTCCCTGTGAGCTCAGTGTGCTGCTCGGAGGAGCACCAGTTTGCAGTCATCGGTCCAGGCATTAGGAGCAGAAGGTCAGTCTGGGAGGTCAGGTGGATCTCAGCACAGCCTGGAAGGGCTTGAGACTCGTGCCAGCAGCTGAGACATCACCCAGTGATGCCCACGAGATATATTCTCACAGAAGTTCTGTGGGCACTGCCCACATTGTCTCCTTTCTTTCCCCAGGTTGCATGCAGTGCAGGTCCCAGGCAGCCCCTCATTGTCCTCAGCTACCTGCTAGTCACTGGTAACAGGCTGATGCCTCCTTTCCACTTGCCAGCATCCCCAGTAACAGGGCTGAAACCACAGTAAACTCATCCTGAGGCTGACTCCTATGGTTAGAATTTCTTCAGAGGCCATGGTGACAAATCATCAGGTAGTAGACTTCCTAGTCTGTTCAACTTGGGGACCTCCTGGAAAGAGATGGAGGCTGCTGAGAAGTAATGCTCTGGCTAGGAAGGAAAGCCCCTTAATGCTAAGGGGCAGTGCCTGGAACCCCGCTCTCTGTTCCAAACTGCCTGCTTCATCTTCTTAGCAACAGCCTTGCTGGCCGCTGAGTTAGGAGCATCTTCATTCCAAACTTGAGTTGAAAAGATATGCTTTCTTCCTAAACCCTTAATTTTTTAAAAAAAATTGAACTTTTTTTGGAGAAAATTTTAGATTCACATAGAGTAGTAAGAAATAATACAGATAGATTCCCTGTACTCTTTAAGCAGTTATCTCCAAAGGTAACGTCTTGTAAAACTATCCTACAGTATCAAAACCAGTATAGTGATATTGGTATTGATACAGCCATATACTGAACATTTCAATAAACAGAAGGCCCCCTCTCCCCACCCTCATACAGCCACACACACCTCCCTCCATGCTTACCCCCCGGTTCCCATTTACTTTTTAACTCTTGGTAACCACTAATCTGTCTGTTCTCCATTTCTATAATTTGCCATTTCAAAATGTTATAAAAATGGAATCATACAGTATGTAACCTGTGGGTTTGACTTTTTTCCACTCAGCGTTATCCCTGGAGATCCACCCAGGTTGTTGCATGCATCAATGACTCGCTCCTTTTTATTGCTGAGTAGTATTCCACAGTAGGTACCCCAGTTTGTTTAACCATTCACCTGTTGAAAGACATCTGCGTGTTCCCAATGTTTGGTTATTCCAAATAAAGCTGCTATGAACATTCGTGTAGAGGCTTTTATGCGAACATAATTTGTAATTTCTCTGGGATAAATGCCCAGAAGTGCAATTGCTGACAATGGCATGTTTAATGACACAATGCCACCAAAGTGACTGTACCATTTCCCAGTGCCGCCAGCAATGTATGAATAATGCAGTTTCTCTGTATCTTCACCAGCATTCTGTGTTGCCACTATTTTTTAAAGTCATTCTCATGGGTAGGTATAGTCGTAATATCTCATTGTGGTTTTAATTTGCATTCTGTGGATGGCTAACGATGTTAAACATATTTTCATGTGCTTATTTGTCATCCGTGTATTTCCTTTGGTGAAATGTTACTTCATGTCTTTTGCCCATTTTCTAATTGGATTGATTTTTCTCACTGTTGAGTTGTAAAAGGTCTTTACAACTAAACACTAGATATTCCAGATATTAGTCTTGTATCAGAAATGTGGTTTGCAAATATATTCTCTCAGTTTGTAGTTTGTCTTTTCAACCCCTTAACAGAGTCTTTCACAAAGCATAGATTTTTAAATTTTATAAAGTCCAATTTGTCATTAAATTAAGTTTAAAATGTATAGAGTTGAGATTTTTCTGAGGCTTCTTGGAGAAACTTAACCGTGTTAGGATATCTCAGCCTGTGAATTTTAAAAAACCCTTTTGTCACTTAATTTTCCACAGTTTGAAAGGAATATTTGCAAAGAGAGAACAGTATGAATTCCCTGTTTCCCTTTGGATAGACATATCTACTTCTCCCAAGTTCAGTGTGTGGCTGCTGGTTTTTCCGAGGGATTTCTACACATAACGTGATTGATTATGTCCCCTCCCCCTTTGAAGGCAGATGTAAACAGCAACTGAGATGGCAGATGGTAATGTAAGTCTATACCTTGGAGAGCTCTAAATAACAACCACATATGTGCAGTGCTGAAGTCATAGCCCCTTGGCCTATAGCACTCCCCGTGTAAGTACAAAGAGCCATTGTGTCCATGACATGATTTGTATGTCCAAAAGCCTTCGGACGTACGGCCGAATTGACTTTTGGCTTCATTCCTGATGGATGCCTAATGGTAACTAGCTTTAAATGAATATATTTTCATTTTAATCACAAATATTGCATCTTTATGAATAAGAATGATTATAGTGTTGAACATTGCCAGACAATTTATTTGTCAATAATCTATAAAATATCTACTTGAGAGATTTGCCTTTCATAGTCAATCTAGGGCAGTTTCTGTGTCAGTGAGCGATGGGGCTCCAGCTTCTCAATCCAAAGAGAGAGAGAGAGAGCAAGAGAACACACTGAATATTTGCAGGCCGGTTTTATCCCAGAAATCTTGGTGGATCTCTGATTTTCTCCAACAGCCTGCCAGAGAGGAAAGTTAACTGTCTCAGATCAATATCTTCCGGCAAATAAATGCCTATGCCTTTGCTCTGGGCAACTTTGAACGCATTTTACCTCTTGAAAATGGGGAACTATTGAACCTATAAGAAAATCTGATGTCATTTATTGTCATCTCATTGAAATAAAAATATAGAACCCATTTTTAATCTTTCTGATATTAATTGTTAAATGTATTTAAGTACCTACTAACATAAGAGGTAAGGTGAATAGTTGAATTGTCTTTTCCTCTTCTATTTTAGGTGACACTGTTATCAAGATTTTACCTGCATGTGTAGATTCGCTTGCAGTTGTAAGAAATAATACAGAGAGATAGATGCCTTGTTTCTCATGCTCAGTTTTCCCCAGTGGTGACATTTTGTAAAACTATAGCACAATATCACAATATCTCAACCAGAATATTGATATTGGTACAGTCCATCTATCTTCAGATTCTTCAGTTATGTGTGTATATGTGTGTGTTGAGTTCCATATGATTTCATCATCTGTGTGGGTTTGTGTATCCAACACCACAGTTAGGATACTGTTCACTACTATTTTTTACTTTAGTCATTCTGATAGGTGTAAAGTGACATCTCACTGAGTTCTTAATTTGATTTCTTTGATGGCTAATGATGTCGAACATGTTTTCATGTACTCATTGGCCATCTATATGCTCTTCTGCAAAATGTCTCTTCATGTCATTTGCTTGTTTTCTATGCCATCTTGTCCAGACCAGAAGTCACCTCTTTTCCTTTCTTATATTTAAAAAGGGGTAAATTGTCAACAAAAATGTTCAATACTTAACTTAGTGCTTACTACATTCCAGACACTGTTCTAAGCACTTAACTAATTACCTAATTATTTGTTTAATCCTCACAACACCCCTATGAGGTAGGCACTATCATTATCATCCCATTTATGAATGAAGAGAGTGGGGCACAAAGAGATTAATCACACAGCTAAGAAGTGGTAGAGATGAGATTCAATCCCAGACAGTCAGGCTCCAGCATCTGTGCTCTAAACTACTGACCGGATTCCAAATCTAAGGCTGCTTGAGAATGGGTGGCAATTCAGGGAGACTCACTGTCAAAAAGACACAGAGGACCTTTTGCTAAAAATTTAACTTATGATTACCGTTGCTTCTACTTCCTTGGTGGATTCCCTCTGAACATAGCAATGTGTGGGCTCCTCTGCAGGGCCCTGAAACATTTACCATGAGCCAAGTAAAACAGTAGCCTATTTTAGGCCCCTAAGAGCTGAAAGGGAGGGCTTCTTTCACAAAGGGAGTTAGTTTGTTCAATTATGGTTTCCTGAAAGTTGACTTGTTGTTGTTGTTCCTTGTTGTTTACTAGGGAGTTAACATGAATAAGAGCCGGTGCCCATTTTTTAAGAGCTCATAATTTGATGGAAATGAGGGGAGATAGGTGCAGAAAAATCATAAAAAGGTGCATTGAGTGCTCTAGAAGAAATAGGAGCCAAGTGCTGTGAGAGCACCACAGCAAGAAGAACCTGTTTCTAAGGAGATGCGTTGGGGCGGTTGAACAAAGGGCGAGATGGCTTTGAGTGAAAGGCAGGAAAAGATAATCTAGGCTGAGAAATAATAGTGTATCCATTCATCCATCCAGCTGAACTATGAGCAGTTTTGTGGAGGCAGTTTTGGTACTACAGATTCAATGGTGAATAGAATACAGT